ACATGTTAAAAACACAACCACAAACAGCGTAAATACAAATGTTCATTTGAATTTGTAGCCCTCTTGACTTCTTCCAATATTTTTTGTTTGTTTGTCCAAATCAATTTCACTGCTACTAACCTAAAACCGTTTTCCGTTAACACTTCGATAAATCGAATATATATACGTTTACTTTCAGCTTCTATTCCATAGATGATCCTTTATTTGCTCATAGGTGCACCTTTCGGGTCTAAACATCCATATGAGTCCCTTTTACACAATACGAACCAGTCCTAGAGAAAGAACTCGAGTAGGCTCTTCAAATCACCTTATCTGTTATAACGTTTTAAAATTGATTAAATATGTGTTTACGTTTAGCTTCTATCCCGTAACCTCATAACGTAATGAGCTTGACTGCCAGTGCGTAGTGTTGGCTGTGGAGTGGGAAGTGGCAACTACAAAATATATAAATAATAGAATGTAGTCTTGAAACTCTAAACCCTAAACCCTAAAACTCACCATTATCCGACTCCCCGGTCGCCTCTTGGGCCCTCGCCCTTCGACCTCGGGGCTCGGGCCTCTGGCCCTCGGCTTACCCGGCTACCTGTACCAGCCCGACTATCACGCAGTAAATATTCCTGTTTTTTTAAGTTATTTAAAAAAAAATACAGAACAAAGTAACAAAAATAGCAATCTTTTCCTGTTTCGAGGTAAATATATACATACATATTGAGTCGTACTCAGGTGGAATACCAGAGTAAATCAGGAAAGCACAGGGAATCGCAAATTCGGAAGGCCGGGAAAGGATTTATATCTCTTTACCTTTTTAAAAACAAATATACTATAAAATTAGTAAAATACCATAGCCTTCTGAAATCAAACAAAAATAGGGAATAAATTCCAACAGAAAAATTTCTTTCTTTATTTTATATATATATAAAACAAAACAAAACAAACATACACACAAAATGAATCTGCAGACAGTCCACTACATATTCATATATATATTTAAAAATTATCTCATGCCCTCTTTAGGTTCTACTAGCCTTCTGAGCACATCAGCTTCTCTCACTTTCTGTATTTGCACTGTGCTGTATGCAGCAGGAGGACTGCAAGTCTGCACCTCTGCAAGTCCTCAATATTTTAGTCAATATGAGAGTATGTAGATGTTCTCAGTCGTGACTCGTGACTCGTGAGTACGTGGCATGGAAAATTTCTTCGGTCAACACATATTTTTAATGTTTTGTATTAAAAAAAAACAGTTACAGCCATCTCGGGCGGTTATATACATTGTTTTAGTTTTTATTTTATTATACATTCAACTGAACACTAAAAACGACTGATATGTATCCACACATGTATGAATTCACGTTTCACAAGTCAGGTAGAAGGTTGCTATCTAGTATCTACTTTCAAAATAATCTTCTATCTGATTGTCAAAGGATACTACAGATAATTTATATCCTATCCGACCATGAGAGGGCATGGCTTCGCACGCACAGTACCGATTTTCTAATCGACCTCCCAGCAGATTTGTATGTCTCTGGTACAAACCAACGCGTCGAAGTTTTTAAGTTGCGTTTATAGAGATAAAATATTAATTTAACGATGAGCGTCGATAGATCTTCGGATCGACCCAAATCATTAGTGATGGATAGAAAGAATGTATGTCGAGAAGGATCTCCAGAGAGATTCGGAAGCGCGTTCGAAATGTCTTTGACGGCAGACGCACATCACATTTTGGCAAATGACAGCATAAGTGTCCCGACATCGATAGTATCAGCTAAGTGGATCGCTTTAGTATTGGTAGGACTGAATTGGGAAAGAATAGAATCCTTCACGCTACATCTTAATGTCGTGAAAGATGATACTCACAGAACAGTGATGTCAACCGAATTTACCCGGAACCGTTCAACTTCGGATACAGACGAACCGCTCGAATTTAACTACACAACCGTAAGGTATGTTGATGACATTTTATGTCTACATATCATTCGATTATTAATCTTCAATACGCATATATATATGTATATATATATATATATATATTTATATATATATGTCTGTTTGTTTGTTTGTTTGTTTGTTTGTATGTATATATATATATGTCTGTATATATATTTATACATATATATATATATACCATAACATACATACCAACATACATACATATATACATTTATACATATATATATATATATACATAAATATATAAAAACTCACACATACAAAGACACACA